GATAATGTTAAATTTTAGTAATTTCCCCGCTACCGGGGGAATATTGACTGTTAAAGTTACCGCGCCTATGGCCCCGGCACTTTGCAAATTTTCATGACTTGGAAAATTGTTATAACTAGTATAAAATGTTCACAACATGTGAAGGCAATTCTTGATCTTAAACTTTGATCCGTATATCAAAAGATACTGAATAATCTATGTTTCGACAATCTTCCTGAAATTATATTCCTTTTTTTTACGGAAAAAAAAATGAGGAAACAATTTTCGGATTTTGAAGATTCTGCCATGTTGCCACAAGGATAAACTCATTCCAGTCTACTTTCATATCAGCTGTGTGTTAAAGTCCTGGCTATTGTCCGGCTAATAAATTGACTTGTTATTTACCCTGTACCCCGGGGGAAATGGTGCATTAAGACCTTGTTAATCCACAGCCATTCTCCCATTAATTCCCCGCCCTGTCCCGGGGGTCGGGGTTTCAATTGAGTAGTGCATTAATGTCTGTGCGTATTGGCATTTTGCTTTGAATATGACCAGTCTGTAATGTTTTGGCTTTGGAGGAAATTAATTTACTGCTGAAAAATTCCTACATAATTTCTGAAGAATCTTCACAAATGTCTTTGTGAACCAAAAACCAAGCGGATTTCTGATCTTCATGTCTGACTGATTTGATAACACTAGCTAAAAAGCAGATTGTAATGTTAGGTCTTCAATTTTTGGTAAATTTCTGTCTGCGCATTGTAACGAAAATCCTATATACAAAATTCTATATACAAAATTCACATATTTTTGATAAAATTTCTGTATTTACAACTCTTAGGCCAAGTAAAAAAATAGTAGTTTCTCATCCCCGTCCGCATCCTTTTTCCCTGCCACATGGATTTTTCTTTCTTTTAATTTTTTTTTTATATTCTAACCTTTCAAAGACTTTCCACTTACATATTTCGGCCATTTTGCTCCTTTCGGCATAGTTCGGTTGCCGTTCGGAACTTTTCGTCAACTCTCACTTGCTGTTTGGTACTTCGCGCGCCGCTGTTCGTGCCATATTGTCATTTTGGCGCCATATTGCATTAGTAGCTGTTTGTCTATTTTATTATATATTTACGTTTTATGAGTACTTCAATATTTGCGTATGTTTATAGGTTATTTGGTAAACTTTAAGAGCAATATTTGAAGGTTTAACAAAAAAAAAGCGCCCGCGTTCTCCTTTTTTTTCAAAATTCGGACGAGAAACTACTATTTTTTTTGTACTTGGCCTTATGTTGTGAGAGCAAGCTTGGTACACAAGAACACAATATATTATTACTGTAAATCAAGGGTGGGTAGTAGCGAAGTAGTTGTAGTTCCAGTGGCGCCGTGGGACCCGACAAACCGGAAAATATTTTCCGACTGAAACGTCGCGAAAATTTTTGTTACTGACTGAAATTTTTTTTGACGACCTCTCCCCCCCCCCCGTCGCCAAAAAAATTTCGGTCAGTGTACCATTTTAGGGGTCAAAAATTTTTTCCGGACATACCAAATTTTTTCGTTACATCTTTAAATTTTTCCGGACATCACCATTTTTCTACATTTATCCAAAATTTTCCGAAAATACCGACGTTGGAAACTTTGACGATTTCCGACAACGTTGACAATTTTCCAAAAATTTCCGACAACATTCACAATTTTCCGACTGCTCTCCACAATAGGGGGGCCATGCCCCCCCTGCCCCCCCCCCCCAGGCCACGGCGCCACTGTGTAGTTCGCTACTGTAGCGAACTACAAGTAGCCAGTAGTTTTTTACTACTTTTTTAAAACAGTAGCTGTAGTTATAGCGAACTACATTTTGCCTAAAAGTAGCCAAGTAGTTGACTACTTTTCAAACAGCGAATCGCTATTCGCTTTTTCAAATTGTTAGCAACTTGATAGAATAGCATGATATTGAGACACGGTTTGCTTAAAATCAATCCTCAATAGTCAATTATTTGCACTCCCGAAGACTCGGAGTGTACGTAGTGCTTACAAAAATGTTGCTTTGTGTTTACTGTTGCTACTCGTAAGTCGATTTGTTATGGGTTATACATTGAAGCCTGAGTTAGTAGACGCTCCAAATACAGTAAAACTAAAAAATATAGTGTAGCGAAATAGTTCGCTACATTTTTTAAGCAGTTGCTGTAGTCAGTAGCGAACTACCTCTGTTCAAAAGTAGCAGTAGTTGTAGCTGACTACATATTTTTGAAGTAGCTGTACATAGTTATAACGAACTACAAATATTTTGTAGTCAACCCACCCTTGCTGTAAATAACATCGCCAGATTTTCTGGGCGTAATTTTGAGGCAGTACCCCGAAGTTGGTAAATTCTGTATCAATGACTGTTTCATCAAATTTAATATATGCAATGCCTATCTTCTTTGCAGACAAGTAAAAGAAACATACCCATGTTGTTTGTCCGAGGTGATGGTGTAATCTTGGTTTCTCCGCCTGTTCGTGTCGGTCTATGAGCGAAGATTTTATTGCGTGTTATTTTTTGTACATTTTACAACATCTGTGAAAACATCCGTGAACAGACGACCCATGTAGTAATTTTAGAAAGAAAAGTAATGTTGTGTAATATAATGTTTGTGTAACACAAAGAAGTTGCTATACATTGTAGTGTTTTGTAAAGGTATATAAATATAATGAGAAATATAAAGCGGCGTTTTACAATTTGATCTGAACCCTTATTTGACAGTCACGTACACGAGGGCATTGTTTTTTAAACAAATAATCTGTTGTCTGCCTGTTGAAATGAATCGTGCTTAATTAATTTAAAAGTTGACGTGGATGGCAAATCGATCAATTCTAGGAATGAAAGACCAGTAACTGATAAGCATTGCATTGCCATTGGTGTCAGAGCAAGGTTAGGTCGGTAATGCGACTAATGTCTGCTCCGTCACGAAAATGTACCGGTACTTTACAATCACACTAGTTTTCTTGTGAAACGAAAAATTCTAGTTTTCTAGCAAATGGGAAATCTTGTCCAGAATTGCATTCCCTGCGTTTTTTATGCGATTTTTAATAAACATAATTTACAGAGGGTCCTGAAGGGGTAAAATGGGAACTAGGATTTGCTTAATTGTTTTTGTTTGTGGAAACACCACGTAAATTTATTACTGCAAAGCTTTCGATCCGTAAGCCCGGATCTTCATCAGTGCTAATAAAATGTGCTAATATAAGCTTTGCAGTAATAAATTTACGTGGTGTTTCCACAAACAAAAACAATTATATTTTATCGCCATGCAAACATTCAAAGAACTTATTAGGATTTGCTTATTTTTGGGTGGGAAAATGGGATTTCATGCACTGGGATTCATCAGCAAAAAAACAATAGAAAATGGGAATGGGATTAAGATTTGAGCAGGACAGCCACTGAGATGATGGGATTTGTGCTCTGGGACAATGGGATTTAGTCAAAATTTGGGCTGGGAAAGGGGAGTACGACCCCAACCCCTTCAGGACCCTCTTTACATACGGGGGGGGGGGGTGTCTTATACACAGACGATATTTGATGTTAAGCCCTGGGCAAACTAGGAAACATTGTTGTGGAAACATTTGTGATTCTCGATGTTTCCTCAAATGTTTCCCTGTTTGCCCACCCGTGGAAACATTGTTGCGGAAACAAAATTTGCTTCCCGACAAGCAAAAATGTTTCCTAGCGAATTCAGAAACATTTGATGTTTCCCTATGTTTCTCACTATAAATGTTTCTCAGTGTTTGCCCACTCCGCAACAAATGTTTCCTAGTTTGCCCAGGGCTTTGTATTAGTATTTATTGTGCTGTAACCCATACCTTGAACGAAAAGGAATAATAAACATACAATATATAATCTATACATAAAACAAGTTGGTTCACATATTATAATATTGTATTAATTGTAATGTAATTATTGTCACTCGTTTAAGGTTACAGGACACCCTTAAACCCTTTTTGGCGTTTTGTGGAAAATCGCTACTGGGCGCTCAAAATCAGTCCGATTTTCATCAAATTTTCACCAAATGTTAACCAGTACATGCAAAATATGGTAAAGTTGTAAAATTGACAAACAATAAAATAATGTAAGAATTATTCAGGAAAATCTTAAATCGCGGTATCTTTAGTACTTTACGCTTTTGAGTTATGTTCCGGCTGGTTAACTGGTTTTAAAATATATTTATGAAAATATCATTCTTATACAGTAAAATAGTTCTTCTAAAAAATAGTGTTCGGAAATTTTTGTTTATTTCGTCATTCCGCTGATATGGCGATTCCTTTGACGACTGCAATATATTTGACCATATTTCTGAATCGTTTGAGTGAATTGCTCCTTATTATTAAAATATCCAAAATTAGAACAAAGCCGAAGACCATTTTGAAACTGACGTCTTTAGCTATATCCTGTGAAAATGTGAGAAAAATTCGTTAAAACCCGGAGGAGAACAACTCGTTTGAAAATCAGTAATTGCCGTAAAATTCTTCGGGAGAAAATTGAATTTGAATATTACATTTTCAATGTTTTTCTTACTGCAAACGAAATGTATTTTATTAAATAACTCTGCGAATTTTCAACATTTTTTGTTCAAACTTGGTCAGATAGTAGAACCAACCTTAAGGGGCTTCGGTGGCCAAGTGGTTAGCGCACTTGCCTTTCACCTCTGAGGCTGCAGGTTCGAGTCTCACTAAGTACCTTCTCAGTGCGACTCGAACCCAGTCCCCATGTGAAAAGAGTAAAAAGTCAACGCTCTGCCGAAAGCCGTGGGTTTTCCCCGGGTACTCCGGTTTCCTCCCACAGGGAAAGTTGACAGGGTGGGTTAGGTAAAAAAAGGCCCACAGTAATTGGCATATGCTGTTGTGGTGACCCTGCCCTAGTTGGCAAAGCTAAATAAATAAATAAATAAATAAATGCTTTCATGGGAACCAATAAAAAAATTTTAGACAAAATTAACACTCAAAGGTGTTCTGTAACTCTGTAACTCCCGTCACTGCCTTAATAAATACCTGTCCAATAACAAGCCCATGGGGTTTGAACACAGAACCTATGTTCGGGGAGGGGGCTTATATTCGGAATGACCTGAACGTTGGTACACTATTGAGACTTCACTAGTTTACAGAAACAGAGACTTCACTAGTTTACAAAATTTCCAGAAACTCAGAGTATTTTGCAGTCAAAAACTTCAGTAAAATAATGCACCCACACTGCGACTCAAGTCTCAAAAAGACAAAATTTTTGATAAAATTTTGAGCAAATTACTCAATTGTTCCAGTAAATTAAATACTTTGCAATTTCTCGCAGCACTGAGACTTACTAGTCAAGATTATGATTAAGATTAAGCATTTTCATGTCTTCAAATGCCCAAATTTTAAATCATGTGGATCAAATGCGCTTCACATCAAGTATTACGCCCTAATCACTTAGCCAGACTATTTTTGTCTTTACAAAAATTGTGATATTATTTTATTGACTGTGTTTATCCTGACCCACCCTGTCAACTTTCCCTGTGGGAGGAAAGAGGTGAAAGGCGCTTGGCTTGCTCTGACCATATCTGACGACCACGGCACCGGAGCCCCAATCGGAGCCACTCCAGTCAAGGAAATGTCCCTATTAAATAACATATAAAGAATTTTACCTTCCGTTGTGACCTTTCATCTCGTATTTTGCATGTCATGACAAAACATCTGACATACGACACCGCGTTTGACCAGACTGACGAAACAGAACGAGCCGGCGAAAACGTTCGCTTATGTTGTCTCGATAGGACTTCTCAGTTGCTGTGACGCCGCGTCGATTATGATACGAGGAATTACATACATGCTGATATGATTTCTTAATGTAATCACAGCGAACGTGGTTTATTGCGTAGGGAATTTAGCCTTCAGAGTCAAGTTCAGCGACGGAAAACAATTTTATTCTCTCTGACTGTCACCTGGTATGTAAGTTTACTTTGAACGTTACGAATTGTACATTAAAATGTATCGCACATTAAAGTTTGGGTACTTAGACTTGGTCAAACTTTGTGCTTAAGAATGTTTAAGATATATTAATCTACAAAAAGCTTTTAGTAAATCGGTGTTAAATACTGTGCTATGGCGGTAATGGCGCAAAGGTGATATGTTTTGTCTCAACTTGTCCGAGTTTTTTGGCATGTCAACAAACATTACGCAAAATTGCCGCAAATTATGTAAAAGTGCGCGCTGCGTGATCACTAGTGCTCACTAAAGGCGCAATTAATGTTATTCAATAATTGCGAAATATTCCGAGAACATATATTATGGCGTATTTCACGAAAATTATACAAATAGATATTTTATAAAGAAAATTTCCGATATTTCATAAAGATTATACTATTGGGAATTTATAATTAATTATAGCTTTCTAATGCATTTCATGGCTAATGTGAACGCTTAATAGTATATTTATTTATATAATCCTTTAAAGATTTTGCTAATGGGCATTTAAAATAGTTTCGTGCAATATGCCAATACATGTCAGGACTAATACATTTCTCATGGCGCAATAATCGATTCCGTTAAATAGCCTCGATTGAAAAGTCAATAAAAACGTCGACTAAATATAATTTTACAATTCACACAATCTCGTGCTGAATCGTGCGATCGAAATTCGTTTACAATCTTTTATTTTAATCTTCTATGCACAAGTTTTGTGACATAATATACGCTTTAAAAAGTTAAAAATGTATAAAATGCAAACAATATTATGTGAGGTCAAAACAGAGTTGAGTAGTTCAATGATTGTTTGATTGAATCTATGATTTAAACGTCATCAGACTAATTTGAACAAAAGTAACGCGAACTTGACTTCGGTGGTATTTTTCGTAGTACAACGGCTTAAATATTGGAATATGTGTGCGTCCAAGACCAAGTATACTCGAAAGACCTTTCATAAATTCCATATTACAAAGTCCCTTGATCAGCTGATACGCAGAATGATATGAACGTTTCGCAAGCATTTGAGACTCCGAAGGGCTAAAAGGACTTAGTTTTATTTTGTTTATATAACCTCTTAATCGAAGATTTGCCCTATAAAAAGCACAGACGGCTTATCAAGGGAGCTCTCATGATTTCATCTTTACAATTTAATAATGCCCCACACAAAAAATTACATTAATTAAACCACTGGACTGGCGTAGAAATCACTTGGGCTGAGGGGAACTTAATGGGCCATTCTCCTTCGCAGTCCGAAGAGGCTTTTTACGATTTTAGTTTAACACGAGGGCTGTATGCATATATATCTTATATACAGTACACTAGATAGCGCATCTCTTTTAGTAAAATTGAAGCCAAGAATATTCCAGCGGTTACCCCCATTTGAATAGATGGCGGCCATGTTGGTAGTTGCCACTTGCTAATAAACGCCGGCTTAAAAACAACAATAACTTTCATCATTTGAATAGTTTAGAAACGTATTTGGAATAGGGTTAACTTAATGTTTAAGTTCCCTGTTTAAGAAATAGAAAACATACGAATCTTCTCATTTCATGGGAACGACCTGAGACTGCAATCACGGCTTCAATTTTTGAATTGCAGAATAATTAGATGCACTATCTAGTGTATATAAGATATCTATGGCTGTATGTCTTGAAAATGTGAGACCAGACACTGCAGAATGAAAGCATTCTTGTCCCCAGAGCCATTTTTACTCGGTCACTTGTTGAAAATTAGGCTCTGGGTTAGACGACTAAAGGGAGAGATCTGATTGGCTTCTCCGAGAACTGCTATTTCCGATAAGTTGAGCAGTTTTTCGCCAGGCAAAATCATTCTATCAAAATATGTCAATACAAATACTTCGTTTCTTCGTAATACTTCTCTGTTAAAATTGTTACGGTACTAAAGCGTCCTAATTCAAGAGCATGCGCTTTAGAAACTACTGCATGTTTTCTTGCACTTCCGGGTCCTTGTATCCGAGGGCCTATGAAGTCTATGGCCCCGTTTACACTATACCGGATTGCTATGATCGGAGTGGGTCAAATTTTGTAGCTATTGAAAGGCAGTGAATTTTAATCTCAGAGACCCAAATAAACATGCCAATTCTGTCAAACTAATAAGCATTTGCTACTAACCATTGCTCCGTAACGGCAAAAGAAGATGTCATGACCAGCGAATCCGGTATAGTGTAAACAGGGCCTATGAAGATCGCCGCGCGCGGCTGAGAGGCCCTGGGAACGAGGATGGCTACTGACTTGCTAGTCTCAGTTTTTTCCATCATACGGCTAATCAGTTCATGAAAACATGATATTATTCCTAAATAAGTCAAAACACGAAATTTTGGCACACTCCTTGCACCCTTATGTTAACCGCGCGGACAAAAATCAGCATGAGCTCCACCTTTGAATCAGTAAATTAAATTCTAAAACACGTCCGAACTTATCATTATGATTTTCAAGATTTTAAAAAAAAGTTTAAAAAAGAAAAAAAAAGTTTAAAAAGTTAGATTTTCAGAAAAGTTAAAGTGGAAGTCAAGCCCGTTATGTAAACAAACGGTTTGTTTACATTTTGAACTGCTGTATTTAAGTATTTTTTTAAATATGATGTACTGTTTGAATATCTAACACTATTTTGGTTCGCTATGCTTCTAAATGAATATGAAATAAAGTTTATGTTCAGAAAAATTCGAAACATTCGAAATTTAGGCAATGTTTACATTATGCAATGTTTACATTGTTATGAGCAGAACCGATGCGCAGAACGGACTTGACTCCCACTTTAAAAAAGTTTAAAAAGTTAGGGTTAGGGGTTAGTGGTTAGGGTTGGGGTTAGTGTTAGGGGCTAGATGCCGCGAATTTATTATTATGATAAATTCAAAATGTGCCGCGAATTTATCATAATGATAAATGCGGACGTGTTTAAGAATTTACTCATATAGTAAATTCAAAGGTGGAGCTCATGCTGACCAAAAACAGTGCCAGTCGGCAATGGACGTCAACTGATTTTTGCCATATTTAGCTTAACCGACACTTTTCCGGTTCGCTATACTTGTAAATGAATATAAACTCTACGTTTCAATTCAAAAAAGTTCGAAAGATGCAAAATTTGAGCAATGTTTATATCTGGGGGTCCCCCTTTGTTATGAGCAGAACTGATGCGCAGAACGGAGTGGACATCATCTTTAACTTTTTGTATCGGTCTCACTCCAGATATAATATCGAGTTCACTGCGCTGATCCTAAGTTTGAGATATGATTTTGGTGTTGTACAGTAACCATTCTGTCTATCGCATATCAATATTTAAAGCGTCCCACTGGCTTATCTTTTACCGAAATCAATAGCATACAATTACGAAACAATTGCTCTTTATCGCAACATTGTTTTGAATCTTTATAAGCCGATTCTCAGTGTTGGTTATAATTCTTTCTAGATTACTAGAATGTTCGATGCTTTGATATTTCATTTTAGTACCTAAGTTAATTAACACCGTGAATTGCCTATTTTGACTTAGATCACTGGAATTTGTTTAAGTGAACTTCTAGGTAATTCTTTCAGATTTTCAGGTAATATGGAAAGCAAACTAAGAATGCTAAATGTTAGTTGCATTTCCGGACTTTCTGGGTGTCTAAATCTTCAAATTTTTAAGTGGGAGCATTCCCCGGAACTTCACGAGTAGACTTGGCCCCGTATCCCATTGTGCTAATATATATTCTTTCGAAAGAAACACTTGCTATTTCAATGTACTCATGGAAAACCCAAAACTGCTTTTAGGTAACGTGAAAAGTAATTTAAAAATTTAGGTAATTGGGACTTTCACCTTCCCCCGCCCCCAAGGACAAAGTCTTACCTACGTTCCTGTGCACCAGCAATGTTGCCGATGAGAATGGGAATTTGGCAAAATAATGTAGGTCGGATGACTGGGATTTTGATAAAATTTTGGGCGGGAATATATGATTGAAACCCCCTTCACGACCCTCTAACCGAGGTTGTTCCAAGGACATCATAATAAACCTTGCCATAGTAACAGATTTTTGGCGGGAAGATATGATTGAAACCCCCTTCATGATCCTCTGACAGAGGTTGTTCCGAGAACATTTTTAAGTCTCATAATAGATCTTTTGTACAAATGATGCAGAGGCTTGTACAAATGATGCAGAGGCTTGTACATAGACACATAATAACAGACTTGCTACAAGTTGTTCCAACAAGACTTATACAGGCTGTTCTATACGAGCTTTGTCATAAACTTGGTAACAACTTGTTAAGATGGAGTAATACGGGCACAAAATTGCTGCAACTTGCAACAAAATCTGATTTTCTACGCATGTTAATTGAAAATGTTTACACATAAATTACAAATCACAAGGCAACATGCGTCAACATTTGTACTTAACATGCGTTGAAATCAGATTTTTTTGCAAGTTGCAGCAATTTTGTTGCTCGTATTACTCCAGCTTTACGTGCAGACGATATCGGACTTGTTGAACAACCTGTGTTGTTGGGTCTGTTGGCCTCATCAACCTTGTTACAAGACGATATAACAAGCTGTGAGATGTTTACGTGTGTATAGTCTAGGCTTTGCTCTATTGCGACCTGACGATGCTCAATGTTGGGTTATTAAAAATCTCAGTATACCACAAAAGCCACCATATGTAATGTATTATTGTAATGCGTAAGTGTGACAGAATTTCGTTACAATACTGAAAAACTTTCAAAGCGTTCCCGTCGTCTTTATTTCCACGTGGCGCGAACAGGCGATTTCCTTTGCCAAAATGCCGTCCAAAACTCCAGCGGCAATTGCATAGTAAAAATTTGGCGACATTGCGCCACATTGGCATAGAGACCACTTGGTTATTGGTATTTGACCACTTGCGGTTGAGCCAAAATAAATCTTTTTGCCATAATTCAGCCTTCCGTAATTTTGATACTGGATGATAACTGATCAACGTTTTACAGCTATTCACTAACTTTAGTTAGGATTGCATTCCGGTTAAGTCGTTTTTTGTACGTACATTCAAGACATTCAAGTACATGTATGCGCTTGTAAAAGTTTCAGTAGATTTAAAGGTGACTCAGTTATGAAAATAACCCTGAATGAGTAAAATGAACAAAACCAAAACTGGATGCATATTTTAGCCCGTTGAAATCTAATAGCCTAATAAAGATTCCATAATTAGTTCTTGTTTTAGCCAAAAATACGATTGGTTAGCGGCAAGGCTATAGTACAATAATTAGATACTGGATTGTATAGAATTGATCACTAATAGTAATACTGACGGTATAGTGTATGAACTTTGACACATGAAAGAAAGGCAAGGTCAAGGGCTTCGGTATTTGTTAAGGTAATAGTAGGCCTATATAATTGTATAACAGTAGGCTAGCTAGTAATTATTTAAGCAGTGTAAAAACACTCTTCCTCTGGTCAAAATTTTCGTGGTTAAGCCAGAAAGTGAAACAACCCTATTTAATTTGTGTCAACTTAAGCCCCGTTTACACTACACTCAATTTTTGGTACGGCAAGGATAAAATTGGTACCCGTACCACTTTTTTTGGTTCTTCGACTACCTATTTAGGTAGTCCGAGAACCAAAAAAGTGGTACGGTACCAAAAATCGAGCGTAGTGTAAACCCAGTAAACGGGGCTCAAGTATTCGATCCTTGGTAAATTTCTTGGTTATTTCATCTTATTTTTTAATTTTGTTTTTGGTATAGTCATTACTAATACTGTATATATATATATATAGATATATATAATAATAATAATAATATTTCAATTATATAGTGTAAAAAGAGTGCTCAACATCAAGAATTTAACAGAGCAAATAGTATTTTAACTTAAAATTGAGTCACAACTCAGAGTTGTGACTCAATTTTAAGTTAAAATACTATATATATATATATATATATATATATATATATATATATATATATATATATATATATATATATATATATATATAAAAAGAATAATAATATTTCAATTATATAGTGTAAAAAGAGTGCTCAACATCAAGAATTTAACAGAGCAAATAGTATTTTAACTTAAAATTGAGTCACAACTCTGAGTTTCACGCTGAGTGCGATCAATCGCACTCAGCGTGAAACTCAGAGTTGTGACTCAATTTTAAGTTAAAATAATATATATATATATATATATATACAGACATATATATATATATATATATATATATATATATATATATATATATATATATATATATATATATATATATATATATATATATATATATATATATATATATATATATATGTATATACAGTATTAGTACGATATATCTGAGCATGCGCGAATGTTCATGCAGTATGCATTCTGACTGTGTGCTGTATGGTCATTCTTTTGCGCCATTTTATATAAATTCTATTAAATCTGTTCATGCAAATATTGCGTAGTGCACTATTATTTCAAGACTGTACTTCGAAGAAAGGCAATAAAATGAATAATCGTTAAAACAATATAAAATAATATGTAACGATACAAAACAATAACATAAGCTGTGCAATATTCTTCGCACAATAAAGCACCATAATATTATCTCATCAAATATATTTGAAATAGGAGTCAAAAACAATAAAATTTGTGTGACACGATAACAAACCTTCGTCCATAAAACAGTTCTGTCACAGTTTTGTGTAAAAGCCTTGAAACTTCTAGCATTTTAACGAACAGACACTTGGCATTAAAGTTAAAATTACGACCGCCGTGATTCAGTAAATAATTAACTTTGACATATATATTTTAAATCCAATTTGAAAACGCAACGACAGCTAGAATCGTTTTTTGAGCAGTTTTTGAATATTTTTGAGTGTATACATGCATGATTCTTGACGTTTTAGCTAAGTTCTGAGTGCTTTTCTAACACTTCGCGACGACATCATTTCTTGGCTCGGTTTGCCATGGGGGGTCATAAAGGTCACAGTTTAATGCCCGTGTTTATACAAAGACTTTGACTGCGTCCATGTGAGCGACATTGCAACTTTCCGATAACATTTGCCTTATGCTTGGCCATTTGGCAACTTTCCACGCTCTTTGCTCGCAAGTACGCTTAATTTTGAATCCTCGAGGGCCCTCAAACAACCCCAAAGCACAGCCCTTCTGCTGTCGCCTCGCGTTCCCTGCCAATAGCTGTACAGTTTTTTCGTCGCGATAAACTGTCACAATTATGCATAATGTATGCAACACTTGCAGGAGGCATTTTAGACCTATTGCAATCTCGCTCTTACCAAAGGGTCGGTTTGACGTTTTGCGACGGAATGGCGAACGTCCCGATACCTAACCAGTTGTAGCCCAGCCGTCGCTAATCCATCCGCCGAAAATGATTTTCAAGAATCAAGCCTGATTGCACCGTTCAGTGACAGAAAAATTTGAAGGTAAACTGTGTTATTTATAAAGAGTTTGAAATGTTGGATTGTATGGCAATGCATCGTTTGCGACCTTCGTCTAGTTTTCGCTCAGTTGATGACACAACTGTTAATCAAAGTCTGGGAATTACTTTTTGTTATTCAGGGAATGGGGGAATATTAAAAATAAGCTCGAGAAATCTGAAATCTGTGTCAAGTGAGATGCAGAAATATAGTGTCAGTGTGTTTCGTTCCTCTCTTCCTGCTGTTTCTGAATAGAGCCTTTCGTGTATTTGCAGTCTGTGATTTTATAACGTGTTTTAGATCTACAAATCGCGTAGAGTTATTACATAAATATTTGAAGGCATACAGCTTCATTTTAAATACATATTGGTCTAGTTCGTTTGCGAGCTAATTAGATGAAATATAGTCCCGTCTTTTAATAAGGTCATTAGTGCAAGCCAGTGCAAGACAATTATGTCAGGGACACTCGAAAGACTTAAAATAAAGTGGCACTTGCCATCTATATGTAATGGATGATATTCCCATGATCTGTTACATATTGGTCCAGTCATTTTGCGAGCTAATTAGATGAAATTTGGTATACGCGCGCTTAATTATAAGCCTCATTAGCGTAGGTATAATTATGTGAAGGGTAACTTTCTAGATTTCTGTCAAAGAGTTTTCAAAAGAATTCAGATAAAGCGGGCATTGTTTTAATTTTGCAGGCTACTAATTAAGACTGCATTATTGAGCCATGTAAGCAATACACAAGTTATGAATCATACATGAAGTAGGCCTGCATTGGCGAAAAAAAAATTCCAAACACTTTCGTGGGCTGTTATTTTTTGACAAGGTCATGTATATCTGTCTATATATTACTGCGATTACCATTTTAAATCTTGGATGTTGTACTGTACAACAATTCAGCTCGTTTAATTAACTAACGTCCGCGACTTGGATTGAGAAATTTATTCAATATCATGCTGGTAATTAGAAAATTACTGTTTTGATAGAGCATGATGCTGTATATTTACCATCTTAGATTGTTATCACCCTCTCAATATATGATATTGCTTCCTGTGTTAGAATGTCAGAGACTCGTCCGCATATGCAGACACATTAAGTCCTAATTCGATATAAGGCTTTCAGGCCGTTGCACATAGCATTTGTTTTTCACTTTTACTCTCAATATGTTAGCTTGTAATGCCCACGTCTGCAATTTATCATCGCACATGAGACCACACAAGACACAAGTTATACTTTTCCAGTAATCAATATGTTGGGAAGACTAATACAGTGTAATCGCCTGTTTGTCAACACCCTACTTTTACTGCGCATTTGCTTTACGAAGTTAGATCAAACAATGACATTAGCAGTGTGAAAAACTAATCAACTTTGAGATTATGCCACTCCGAGTGTGCACACGTGCACCGCGGGCAACCTGAAATGTTTGGTGGGATTTCACCAGTGATCTGATGGTGTGACCACCAGGGACCGGTTGTTCAAAGGTGGGTTAGCGCTTACCCTGTGTTAAAATTTAACCTGCTGTTTTAGTTTGTGTATTTCTGCACGTCTGTTTATTTCAAAACTTCAGAGAAGTAAACTCCTATGGATCCAGACAAGATCAGTCTCTGAAGAAATAGTTCCAAATTTATAGACAAGCTGCCAGGAAGTTTGCTTCGAGTTTTAGGTTAATCTAGGGTTAAGCTAACCCAGCTTTGAACAACCGCCCCCAGGAATCTACTGTGATATTGCATGACATTGTGGACTCAGTCAATAAGTTTGCCGCTCTTTTTGTTTCGCTTTATTTCGACTTATTTGTATGTATAGGTAATAGTATGGTTCGAGTGCAATTTGGGAAAAACATGCACGAGTGAGTTTTTCAAAGACGATCAAAATTGCACGAGTCCGAAGGACGAGTACAATATGAAGTCTTTTGAACTCACGAGTATATGTTTTTTCTTCAAATTGCACGAGAAACCGCCATATGCGCTAGATAAAACATGAGCAGCCGATCTGTATCTGATATAAAAACTCGAGCCGAAGGCGAGTGTTTGTATATCAGATACAGGTCGGATGCGAATGTTTTATCGTACTTAAAAAATGACCCATCTTATGAGTTTATTGGCGAAGTAATTTTAAAAATAAACATTGTCTAAGCCGAGAAAATCAAAGTTGAAGTTAGTATGTAAATCAGGGCAAATCTTTATCCGATTTGCAAACATTGATTAAACATTCATTTCTTTTGTATTTTCCTCGTGAATTATTAATGAATTTTTTAATATTACTTATTAATAGTATACATGGAAGAATTAACGTCAGCCATATTTTTACAAAAAAAACGCCAGCCATTTCTGTACTCTTAAAAACTCCTAAATGTTTTTTATTCTGCATTATTTCTGCTGGAAATTACTGTATCTTATTGGCTATCTTTGTTATTGTTTCATATTTTAAGCAATCGGAAAGCCTAAATAGTCAATGTACTTGGCAATGTATTTCTTTTTTTTGCAATGTATTTCATTTTTTGGCACTGTAGTTCAAAAAAATTGCATTGCTCTTAGCCAATCAGAATTGAGAAATTTTTTCATGTATAGTTCTTAATTATGCACGAGTTACCTAATATTTTTCGTGTCCCTTTAATTAACCTTTCCTTAATCTCTAAATTCTACCAATAAATCAAAAACTTCGCCGACTATATCTTGGAATAACATAGCAGTTTTCCTCATTAATATTGCCGATCGTAACCCTCCCGGCAATGTAATTTGTTCGGGGTCAAAATTTGTTTACTTAAACCAGGTAGCGAAACATGTGTGATGTTGTAGTACATGAACCTGTCTTTAAAAATAGATGGTTGAAAATTCGGTGTCTCGAATATTTGTTCTTCAGGTTTGTGAAGAATGATTACGTCATAAGATGGCGGATGCAGACGAGCGATCGAGAAAACGAGCCGAACGACGGCTCAAGAGGAAAGAGAATGAGGAATTGACTGGGGGCAATGACGTCCATGGTAAGTTTTCATTTTCATTTATGTTATGATATACGCACGGCCAGGGCGCAAAATAACGGCCGGTCAACGGACAATGTCCGGCCAGAATGCGGAGTTGTCCGGTCAAATTCTTACCTTGCCGGTCATTTCACCGGTCACTTTCGGTAAAAGATCAAACTTATCTTCATTTTAATTAATAATCAAAATAAAGTTGTCAAGTATTATAATAACATGTTGTCGAATATATTGCGGGAAAAGAACTTCAATGTACGCCAGCTTTCCCACACTGTATGTCACAAAGCCCATGGCCATGCCTTTGGCTTAAGAGTTAAGGCTATGCTTTTAGCGCAGTGCAAGCTGTTTTAGCGAAGTGCAAGCTGTTTTATGTTTTTAATTACTGATTACAGTAAGGCTTTTTGTAATGCTATACTGTGAAAATAGTCACATTTTTAGAGGTGTACTTTACTAGGCTTTGCTTTAAGCTGAATAATTTGACCAGCCAGAAATTCGGCATGTCCGAGCTAAAATTGAGTTGGCCGGTCACCTTGACCGGCGACCCTCCAGCCGTTATGATTTGAGAAGTATTGGTCGTATCAATAGACATTCAAACCTTTAACCTATTTAGATGTAGGTTTATTGACATAGCATGACCAGTTGTCATGGCTTTCTCACTCCCGAAAACCGCGATTCGTCCCAGATACCCAAATATCTTCGAATAGATTCAGTTTAATCAGGCACATGGATCTGATTTTGTTTTTGTATTCTATTAGGTGTACCAGAAATTCACATGAATGGCGCTGACCCGGACATCAGCCGAGAGACGGCGGAAGGACTGGAGCTGAAATCTGATGCTGCACTCCCGGATGTTGTGAAAGTTCCTTCAGGATTGGATGAAAATTGGGAGAGGTAAGAATTGGGAAAAATGGGGATAGTTGGGTAGAATTTGCTGTCCTTAAAGTGTGATTAGGAATGATTAAATATTCTATTCTTACCTGGGTTTTTGATGCTTTAATCATTAAAGACGTGGTTTCGTAATGCATAATTTGTTAAGCTATCTTATACCATACTAGTATACGTAAATTTGTGCTGTGTTTATCAATTTTAAACTTTGTAAATTCTAAATGATGAATAATTCTAAATGATGTACAATGCATACTGCCTAATAAATGCGAGATATTGAGATTGACATGAAGCGAAGACTTCCTGCAGGGCGCGAAATTAATTTGATTTGGCAGTTTTATTTGAAAAGATTAAAGGGTTTGAATGTGACACATTGGGGCGCATTGCAACTTAATGAGTTAAGTAACACATGCATGGCCAGATAGTTTAATTAACTCATTGAGCGCCAGCACTCTCTCCTTGGCAAGTAAAATTGTCTGGCATTAGACAGATTTTACTTGACAAGTTGGGCGAATTGGGGCGCGATGCAACACAATGGGTTATAAAAACTTAATTGTCTTAATAATAACATCATTACAACTTGTCGACAAAGTTGCTACAAACTCGTTGCCAATATATCACGGGAGAAACTTATGATAAGAGGACAGCTATATAACATTTTGAAACCCTCAGTTGGAAAGTCTTGGCAAAAAGACGTGATTAAATATTTAAAATTGGTCTTGATAGATAGATAAAACTTTTATTTTGATAGGGTGGTCTCATCAGACCACAACTGGTCTGTTATCAACGAGAGCCCTATATAACTACAATAAGTTCTATAGTACATTCTATCAATTATGTTATAAAAACTACACTAATGTCAGACTATTAGCTATGATATGATATTAATATATTACTTAAGTTAAAATCCATTGAAAGTTTAAAAGTATCTAGAGAAGACTGTGACCTAAGCGATTAAAAGCCTTAGCTCCATTATAGTAAAAAGATTTCTTCGCCATTTCTGTTCTAACTCTTGGCAGATGCAATAAATTGCTTTGGCGGGTAGTTCTTACTGATATATAAAATATTTAACAAATAGATAAGATTTTGCTGTTGCCTGTTCAGTTTTAGATATACAGTATGACGTCATAATGTGGGCAGAACAAATAGCTTACTTTTTATCCACCCATTTGGAAATTTGAAAAAGTCAAAATTTTACAAATATCACGCGTACAGGATCTACACAAATAAGGGAATGCTATTGGATAAAGTTTTGTGTGACGTAATTCGCGTCTGTCCTCTAATAGATCATGGCTCTCGACCAATGAAAGCGCTTGAATTCCTAACGTTATTATATAAATATGTATATCTTCACGTCTGTATTACACATGTCTAGGCCAGTGACACCGGAGATTGACGACGAAGGTTTTGCACATGGGAAGAACGGATACAGGTCATACAGTAATGCTGTTGCTGCGAATGCGCAGAAATCAGCCTTGCAGAAAAAGAAGGAGCAATATGCGAACACGGCGCTAAGAGGACAGCGGTACGACAGTGAAGAAGATGCGGAGTTTGAACCCGAGGTACAACCTTCGGAGAATCGCAATGACCCCCCTGCACGAAAGGTCTCTGGGAGTAGCGTCAAGGAGGATGAGTGGTCTCAGTTAGCACAGCAGAGAACGACGCCAGGGGGAGGTGAATTTTATACGGACGAGGAACTCAATCAGATGGATAAACAGTCTCAAAGCAGCGGTGACAGAAGCAGGAAGGTATGTTTCCTAGGGAGGGGCATTTGCCTGCCAGGAAGAAGTTTATCCTGGAAACTCGCTCCACAGGGACCAAAACACCAAAACTGGGGGGGGGGCGGATTTCTTGGGATACCGGAATCCCAAAAACATTTTCTAGGTTTCGTGCTAAAATACTTAAACTTTTAATATACATTCGTAAGGTAAGCGAGGAATGGCGAACGGCATCAAAGACCACAACAGCCCGAGGCGTCAACAAACCAAAAAGCAGCCTCAAGACATCAAATTCCTGGATACGCGAGAGACCTCAATTGCCAGAGGAACCTGTCCTTAAGGAACCTCCTTGGTTGGATCTTGTCAGAAAACGAAGATGGAGGTTGGTGTTTTGTTTTCTTTTACGTAATATTTCAAATCCGACTATGAGGACTGGATCAGATTGCAAGTCCTTGCAATTTGAAATCTAGTCCAGCCCGAATTGGAGGATTTGAAATGACATCTCATACGAATAATAGTCCTAAGACTGTATATATCAATATACATCACCAGGTATCCAGTATTATCATGTGAGCAAAATAAAGCAATATGTTTGGCTAATTTACTCATGAATTATTAATGAGTTTCGAGACGTAATATTTCAAATCCGACTATGAGGACTGGACTAGATTTCAAGTCCGCGCAGCCGAGCCCGAGGCGAAGCCGAGGACTGGATCAAAATGCAAGAACTTGAAATCTAGTCCAGTCCTCAAAGTCGGATTTGAAATGACATCTCATACGAATAAATCACTATGGAGCTTTAGATTTGACTACGAGTACGACTACGAGATTTGATCGCGTGCGAAGAAATTACCGTAGTCGTTTTCGTTTCGATTCAAATGTTGCTTTTATAACAGTAAACCAACAACGAGAGAAAAAGTTTCATAAACTAAATCTCCTGCAGACTAAAATCCCCTACAAAACGTGTAAATAAGTCATAACATTAAAAACAGGCCAGATATTTAGTACTAATATATTATTTGCGCCGGATAAACGCTATAGAAATGCTACAAATTATTTTTGGAAAACAAAAAAGCTAACTTTCTTTGTTTTTTTTGGTTTTTTTTTGAAAAGTCGTCGTGAGGACTACGAGATTTCTCCACAATTTCGTACTCAGATGGGCGACGGCTACGACTTTTTCGCGTCAGTACAGGATGGCGTAAGCATACAGCATGCGTTTAGCTTGACGAATCTCGTACTCGTAGTCAAATCTAAAGCTCCCTAGTTAATTTAAAGTGAGGTGAACTAATTTTGATCCAGTCCAACTGAGGATTGAATTAATTTTGATCCAGTCCTGGGACTTCACCAGGTGTCCAATATTATTGTGTGAGCAAAATAAAGCAATATGGTTGGTTATTTACTCATGAATTATTGATGAGTTTGAGATGTGTCAAGGCTGGTTTACACTATCAAAGTTTCTGTGATCACAGTAGAAATTTTACATAAATGCATTACATGCAAATTGTAACTTTGGTGCGTCTCTGGTTTATAAAGCTCTTCCTTTGAGACATAAGCAATTTAAAAGATGGGCCAGGATTCGCCCCTGTTCGAACTCAATTATTCACTTATGTTATCTGTACATCAATGTTTATCTATAAGCTGGTTTACACTATCAAAGTTTATGTGATTACAGTAGGAGTTTTTCATAGGTAAATTCTAAGTTTTGAAGGATTTGTAAGAAATGTTTGAGGAAACTGACTCAGTGTTTAACAATTAACACTAAGTCAGTTCTCTGAAATATTTCTTACAAATCCTCCAAAACGTCGAGTTTATCTATGCAAAATTCCTGCTGTGATGACAGAAACGTTGATAGTGTAAACCAATCCTAAATAGTATACGCTTAAAGGCACAGTTCAGCCTATTGGATGATGGTTTTTAAGGCCTATTACAACCCTTTTAATTGAAAAAAAAACTAACTAGGAAAATCAATTAAGCATAATTCAAGATCAATGATTTCAATGTTCCTAACATTTTTTAACATTTTTTTTATTGTTAAAAACATCGAGTTCACAGTTAGTTTTTCAATTAAAAGTACGCCTTAAAAACCATCATTCAAAAGGCTGAACTGTGCCTTTAATGACTGCTCCCGATGGAAATAATTTTTGTTTTCCGCGAGTTTTAATGTTTCCCGTGTAATTTATCCCGACTCAAAACGCGTCACTTGGATGCGAAATGGAATCTCTGGATTTGGCTTATTATTTTACCCCGAAGCTTATCTTTTGACCATTCGTTTCCAGGTCGACGGTAAAGGCTCGGTTTCCGCAGACGGAAAGAGAACGGATACAATTCGAGCGAAGACTGGACACGAGTAAGAAAGGTCTCAAGTTTAACCCTCGTGGTGAGCCCACGGGTATTACTGGTCCCGATATGAACGATGAACTATCTTTATATCTGATACAACAGCGCAGGCGCATTGAGTCCGATGACGTCATTGATTCAGGCATTCCCTCAGCCACTCGGAGCTTAGCCTCGTCAACCGATCGCAGCTCGTTGTTGTCATTCAGCGATTCCGTTTTCCAAGACAACGAATACCATGACGACGAGCCGAAAAATCGTGAGTTAGCCGCCGAAAAGGGAATTCTGAATCTCTCTCACCCTCCAATCAAAGGTCCGAAGAGGGAAGTACATAAAAATCTAGCTATGGAACGATCTAGGCAGCAAACAATGAAATGGCGGTTTTCAATTGACCCTCATGAAGCACCCCTGTGGACCCATTTGCCAAAGCCGGCCGATATCGAAGCATTGAACGACATGGACGTCGGCTTGGATGCGAAATACTGGAGCTCTCGGAAGAAATTCCAAACTGGGCAATTCAACCCACCCAAAGTTCTCCCAAAACCCCGCTCTCGCTCGTCGTCGGGAATCTCTCGGTCTCATTCGAGCAGCGAAGTTGACTTCGGTCGACGTTCGTCGTACGGTAGTAGCTCTGCGACTGAAGACATGACCCCGCTCGCCTCGCGTTCTAGCGTCAAGGACATGAAACAGAAACTTGCATCCGGGGAGTTTCTGACGTCAACACCATTACCGGTCAAACCGGTTGAACTTGAAGAGGGATATTTGCCGCGCTTGCGTGATCTGCAACAGAAACTCGCGGACAGAGCCGAGAGCGAGCAAAACAAGAACCCAAAACCGACTTATATATCCCCCGAGGAACTTGAGTCTATGGGCGAGAGGAAGAGATCCGTCACCGAGGAGTTGTTTACGGAGAAAGACGAGCCACCGAAGCCTATCGAACGCCCGAGGATGACACGAAGACGTAGCGATGCCGAGTTGCTTGATTTGCTGAAGTCGCGCAAAGAAGAAGCTGACCAGTCGGCTACTGAGACGGCACAGGAGATCTCGAGCGTCGTGTCGGATATTTCTAGTACGTTCGGTGATGGCAAAGGAGAAGTGAAAACGGAAGGCAAAGGGCAGGAAGGAAAGGATTCTCCAGAGCAAGAGAAACAGAGAGCCAAAGTAGAGGATAAGAAGAAGATTGAGAATGTGAAGAAGACGGAGGGAAACAAGAGAGAACAGGAGAAGAAAAAGGATGCTGAGGAACAGCACAGGTAATTAGTTGATATCGAGAGGCTCTTTGGTTGGGGTTTCGGACTCTAGGGACTTACAAATCACCCGCGAAGAATCTGTAATCCTTGGAATATTTTGAATTGTTACCGTCGAAGAGAAAGTTGCCAAATCTGAAGGGTAGGGAAACAAATAAATAACTAAGGAGCCATCGCGATTTTTCGCAAACGTTTTACTTAGTTTGTCCAGACTGGCAGATGGTTACGTGTATTCATCACGCACTTATTGTTTTTGAACTTCCTCAATTTCCTTTTAAAGTGTTTAATTTAACTTGTAAATAACCAAATGCATAGTAGTTAAGTATTTGGAATGTGGAATAACTAGCAATTACGCCCCTCCTGCAAACAAGCTTAGTCTGTATCTCAAAAAAGTTGAGAGAGGCTAGCATGATGAAATTTAAACCATATGGGTATGTATATATGACACGTCCAATAGGATTAGGGTTAGAGTTGTGATTGAAAACAAAACATGTTGGCGCAATCATCAAAACAAGCGATTTTCAGCTCTGAGATTGTAGATTCGATTCTGTAGACTCGTGACACTTATGTGAAAGAGTCCTTCAACACTCTCACGGTACTTTTCTCTGGGTACTCCGAGTTCCTCCCACACGAAATATTCACAGGATGGGTTGGGCCACATATATATTTCGCTTCTTCAAGTTCATGAGGATGTTACATAACTTCAATTTTCCATTGTTGCATATTTTCAGAAATACATGTCCAGAATTTTTAGTCAAGCTAAAAGATTGTGAAGTGTTGGAAGGCAATGATATAAGTCTTGAAACTGTTGTCAGCGGTGATCCCAAACCAATAGTACAGTGGTTCTTGGATGAACGTCTGCTGACCAGTAAAGACAAACGTCACGCGATTATCTGTCAAGGGAGTGTCCACAGTCTGAGCATAAAGAATATTCAAATCGAAGACGAAGGAATATATGAATGTGTGGCTACCAATGTCGCGGGAACGGCTAAATGTGACTGCGAGGTTCTAGTCAATGGTTAGTTTGCCCTTGAAATTTCTGAGCTAAGTTTTGATCAGTTGATTAACCAGGGGCTGGTTGTACGAAGGCTGTAAAGTTGCGGATATGGACTTCACAATTGTAATTAATAATAATAATACAATTAAGCAATAACCTTTCTCCTCCTAATCAAGGATCCAAACGGGAATTAACCAATCGATTAGAAATCAACCAATTAGCAAGTCTTTCAATTAACTAGGCGATTAATAAAGCAATTAGCCGCCAAGGCATTAACCAGATACCTACCAAGTAGATAAATGCTGCCACTCTATTGATGAACAAGCCAACAGCAGCTGAACTAACGAACTTAAGCCAGGCGCACACAAGTGCTATGTGCTTAGCAAAATATCCAACGTGTTGAATATTTTTTGTCACGAATGAACATTTCCTCCACGTGTGCGCGCTCGAAAAGCTATCACCTTTCATTGTAAATCGAATAGGCATGCCTAATAAAGGAAAATAATTTATGAGGAATATTCATATGTCGCTACTCAAGCATCACATTATGTTTTATTACGCATGCCTATTCGATCTACAATGAAAGGTGATAGCTTTTCGAGCGTGCACACGTGGAGGAAATGTTCATTCGTGACAAAAATATTCAATACGTTGGATATTTGTCTTACGCGTCACGAGTGACGAAAAACGTACAAAAGTGCACCGCACACGAGAGTTTTCTCCTTATGCAATCGGTCATGAACGACATTTTGCTAAGCACATAGCACTTGTGTGCGCCGGGCTTTACTAATTGATTGACTAACTAACGCAATTAATTAGTAAGGCTTCGGTGGCACAATCGTCAGAACAAGCGCATTTCACCTCTGAGATCGTAGGTTCAATTCTCTCTGCGAACTCATGACACTTATGTGAAAAGAATTTTGTCAACGCTCTACCGAAAGTCGTCGTGGGTTTTCTCCTGGTACTTCGGTTTACTCCCACAGGGAATGTTGAGAAGATGGGTTGGGATTAAACCCTAAATGCTTCGTGGTCAAACACGAGTCATGAGGTGGCTGCCAAAGGCGCCCTTAGAAAGTCTTCTTCTCGACCCGATATGGTGTTGTTAGGTGAATTTTTGGTTTAAAAAAAATTGGTTTGCAATTCATCTAATGGAAACAGTGAAAAATTTCTATTTTACTATAAACTAAGATATCTTTGAATGATCCAGTTAGTTTTAACAAAGTCCTGATATTTTCCCAGTAATATAACAGTTTTGCTTACTAGAATATCTTTGTTTATGTTTCAGATTGAAATGGAACAGCTGTAAATGAAGGCATAAATGTTAAGCATTTGAAGACTTCTATTTAAATATGGCAAGAACAGAACAGTAAGGTTTGAGGCCTTCAAATTAGGATAATTATATGACTATTGACATTTAAAAAAATTTTTAACCATAGCAAGTCACACCGACAGATGCAAATTAGTATCTGTAGATCTAGGCAATTAAAACAATCTCACACTTGCAAATGGACTGTGTCATAATATGTACATTGTTAATAAATGTCTCGTTATTTTTGTCTCTTTCCTCATTGGAAATTTAGTTGAAAACTTGTGAGGGGTCGGCCGTCGATTAACGCCAATTACGTCATCTTTGAAGGGGGGTGACAGTTTATTACACAGAGGGTGGGTTTATTAGTGAAGGTTATTGGTGAAGATCATGATTATCAGTAACTGAGGAGAGGAAGTTCATTAATTATGAGTCAGATTTCGCAGTCATTACGGGCATAAATACAACAAATTACTAGAATGTCATCTTTCTAGGAATAATATTACTATTACTAGAAGTATCGTATAATGTTAATTATATAAACGATTCGTCGTTTCGTTAAAAGAGCCAAAAATGTGATGAAAATTGTTGAATGCCTGCCAATGACCGGTAGGGATGTTGGTAGAACATAGGTGAAGATCAGAATTTGATTCCCACATTATATGCATGCAGCTTTCCAGTGGCGGAATGTTTGGTCAAAACCTCCTGAATTTTTGGACAAGCTCCCCATCTACACTCAAATTTGACCGTAAAGATCGGGGCAATTACCTTCCACCCCAAAGAAATTTCTTCCACTGTAATTTTTATGATCATACTTCAGTCTTACAAGATCACTTCCGGTTTCACTCCATCAGGCTAAAAAAATTGAAGTCGATTTCAGACCATTTAGGACGTTCTCCAATGGGGGGGGGGGGAGGGTCCCCTCTAATGTTCCCATGGAAACCATGTTCCCTTGTCCCCCAGCTTACATATTCCCTTGTTCCCTATGACTTTGTTGCTTTGTTTCCGTGTTCTCATTGCAAAATATGACTCGGACTCATTCAGACCCTTTGGACCAAAGAGGGATGATCTTTACTTGACCTCTAGGAACAAATGGATGGGACTATCAACATCAATATAGTTTATTAATCCGTGAAAACAGGAGGAAATTTGATATATTCGTCTAGCAAACATTCAAATCTCAGGTGAACAGTGCACCACAGATAAGAATATTTTCTAAACAATCTCACGAGTAATTGATACACCAGGCGGAAATTTTAGTTTAAAGATAAAGAGCAGAGACCAGCAAATACTTTACTTATTAACTAATTACTGATAAGTTGTTTTCCTTTCATTCTATTCATTTCTTCTTTCAAACTATGTAACCGTTTGTATGGGGGTGAATAGGGGTATACAAATTCGCCGATTTGAAGCAAAATCCGCGATCCGAGCCAAAATATTAGATAAATCCGCAATCTGCTGTATTAATAAGATCCGAAATCCGTGTGAAACATTCGCCAGATACGAAATCCGGACAATTTTTTCTGTGAAATCCGACGATCCGAAAACCTATTCACCCCTCTAATATTAAACCATTATATTGTAAATATATATACCATGACCTGTAAATTAATTTAGGTTGCTCTGAAGATGTTGTATTGTAAACAACGAAACGTTAATAGTTTTGTTTGTGGAAACACCACGTAAATTTATTACTGCAGTAATTGTTATATGTTGTGTTACATTTGTTTATATTACGATCGGACTGTTATCGGGACAAATCACCTTTCGGTGTTAACAATCTTGGGATGAGGGAAAAGCCATCGCTGATGAGAGTCCGCACTAACGACCAAGATATTCTGTGGCAGCCGGATACCGGGACCCAAAAAGACGTCTGGGATGAGGCACACTTCCGCAGCTTTAAAGAAAAGACTCGGGGGGAAGTAAAGTTGACACCGACAAACATCAAGCTATTTGCATATGGGGGCAAGACACCACTGGCGGTCA